TCTGCCTGCTGGGTTCAAGCAATTCTCATGCCTCAGCCTCCCGAGGAGCTGGGATTACAGGCGTGTGCCACCATGCCCAGCTAATTTTTTTTGTATTTTTTGTAGAGATGGGGTTTTGCCATGTTGCTCAGGCTGGTCTTGAACTCCTGGCCTCAAGAGATCCGCCTGCCTCTGCCTCCCAAAGTGCTGGGGTTACAGGCGTGAACCACCGCGCCTGGCCCATTGATCCTTCTTAGGCTCATTTTGCCATGGGCTAGTGGCCCAACTGGGGGTTTCAGAAACCTCAGGCCCCACTTCACCAATCCCTCTGGTTCTATCATTTATATGTCAAGCTCTGTGACCTTCAAAAAAGCTGGGGAGGATGAGTAGTCCCTTAATTGGAGGAGGACCTGACCCCAGGGAGAGGAAGAACTTGTTCAAGGTCACATGCAGGGCCGTGGCAGGGGGCCTCCCACAAAAGTAGTTTAATCATAGGGATAAAGCAGACACCTAAACAACCAGGGCTCTTTTTTATTTTATTATTTATTTATTTATTTATTTTGAGATGGAGTCTCACTGTGTCACCCAGCCTAGAGTGCAGTGGCTTAATCTCGGCTCACTGCAACCTCCGCCTCCCAAGTTCAAGCAATTCTCCTGCCTCAGCCTCCCTAGTAGCTGGGATTACAGGCGCCCACCACCATGCCTGGCTAATTTTTTTGAATTTTTAGTAGAGACAGAGTTTCACCAAGTTGGCCAGGCTGGTCTTGAACTCCTGGCCTCGAGGGATCTGCCCGGCCTCCCAAAGTGCTGGGATTACAGGTGCGAGTCACCGCGCCCAGCAGGGCTCTTTTTAAAAAAAATATCACTAGTCAGAGGAGGATGGTACTGAATTGTCAAGGCCTTTTGACCATCTCCTGCCATCGTCAGCCTTCCCCAGGAAGCCCCATGTGACAAGGAAGAGAAAACCTGGCCATCTCCTCGTGGTTGTCACATGAGAACACAATGCCCAGCTCATACCCTTCACTTTTTGGCCAGGCCTTGCACAGGTCAGCCTCGAATTAGCAGCGGAACCTCTCTCTCTTGCTAAAATGGTCTGTGGTGGCAGCAGCATGCACTTATTTGATCGAGTCACTGCAGACCAAGGGTTTTCAGGGGGATGGGGTGTCCCAGGGGCTGCTGCATGGGGAAGGGTGCCAGGTCTGAGGAATGCCAGGGAAGCAGCTTTCCTGCTAAGCTCCAGGATGTGCTGGGGGCACTGGGAACCCAAGACAGGACCCAGCACATAGCAAAAGCTCAGGATACCTGCTGTAAGCTGTCGGGGAGGTGTCAGGGTGAGGGGTAAACTATGTCCCCATCGGGCTGCACTGTGGAGCCCAGTGGGCTGGAGGGGCTGGGGAGTGAGTGTTGCCGTTGGGGCTGGGGATTGTGGAAGCTCAGGGTTGACCCTGGGCACTCGCTAATGGGGAGGGGTGGGCACTGCTGGCAAGGGGACGCCCAATCTCTGTAGCCATCAGGGGATCGGCTCCCTTAACCCCAAGGCCCCTCCCATGAAGACATCTCATCTGCAGCACCAGGTGAACTCGCCAGGTCAGGAGCCAATCCCACCGGGCAGAGAACCAGGGATGCCCTGGAACCCTGGGCTTGTGTTTGGCCTTGGGCAGGGGCCCCCACCCTCTCTGGAACTCAGTGACCTCACCTGTTGAAGGCCTGGGCCGCCACACCCTGTCCCCTCTGCCTCTATCCTGCACACCTGTGGATGGTGGTCCAGTTTGGACTGGCTGATTTCTTCCCTGCCTTTGCCCCAAAACCCACCCCAGCCCCCTCCAGGGAGGAAGTGGATGAGGAACCCAGGGGTGGGGGTGAGGCCTTGTTCAGGGCTGGCCCACCTGGCCCCACTCTGGGACTCTTAGCAAGTCCTTCCTATCTCTGGATTTCCTTGGCCTCAGACATAAAATGAGGGTCCTGAACTCGGTGACCCTATGCTCCTGTCCTGACAGTCCGCGGTGCTCCTGGAGCCATTTGAGGCAGTGGGACAGAACAGGGGGAATATGTTTAGCAAAGAAAGGCCTCCCTGAAAACTCTATAGAGCAGAAGGTGTGCCTGGTCCCAGAACCCCAAGGTTTCCATCTGGAGCCCTGGCTGCTGGGATGCTGCGGGAGGGGGCAAAGAGGGTCTGAGCCTCCAGCTCTGAAAGGCCAGCCTTGCATTACAGGCCATGCCTGCATGACCTGTTAGGTCTCCAGCATGATATCTCATTGGCCCATTTTCTCTTTTTTTTTTTGAGGCGGAGCCTCACTTTGTTGCCCAGGCTGGAGTGCAGTGGCACGATCTTGGCTCACTGCAACCTACGCCTCCCAGGTTCAAGCGATCCTCCTGCCTCAGCCCCCCTAGTAGCTGGGATTACAGGCATATGCCACCATGCCTGGCCTAATTTGTGTGTTTTTTGTTTTTTGTTTTTTTTTTTGAGATGGAGTCTCGCTCTGTCGCCTAGGCTGGAGTGCAGTGGCCGGATCTCAGCTCACTGCAAGCTCCGCCTCCCGGGTTCACGCCATTCTCCTGCCTCAGCCTCCCGAGTAGCTGGGACTACAGGCGCCCGCCACCTCGCCCGGCTAGTTTTTTGTATTTTTTAGTAGAGACGGGGTTTCACCGGTTTAGCCAGGATGGTCTCGATCTCCTGACCTTGTGATCCACCCGTCTCGGCCTCCCAAAGTGCTGGGATTACAGGCTTGAGCCACCGCGCCCGGCCTAGTTTTTTGTATTTTTTAGTAGAGACGGGGTTTCTCCGTGTTAGCCAGGATGGTCTCCATCTCCTGACCTCGTGATCGGCCCGTCTTGGCCTCCCAAAGTGCTGAGATTATAGGCGTGAGCCACCGCGCCCAGCCCTAATTTGTGTATTTTTATAGAGACGGGGTTTCTCCATGTTGGTCAGACTGGCCTCAAACTCCCAACCTCAGGTGATCCACCCACCTCAGCCTCCCAAAGTGCTGGGATGACAGGTGTGAGCCACCGCACCCGGCCAGCCCCATTTTCAAGATGAGGAAACTGAGTTTCAGAGTAGTCAGTAGCTCGCCCAAGTCACACAGTGGATCTAGGACTTCAACCCAGGACTGTAGGAGCCAGGGAGCTCTTTGGGAACAAGGGGAATAGGGAGAAGAACTCGGAGTCAGGGTGGGTGACCGCGGGGGAGGAGGTGGGGGCAGGGCTCACTCTCCCTGGGCCCGGAGAGGGAGTTTCTCTTGGGAAGAGGCAGGCTCTGAGGCTGTTGATCTCTAAATTATAGCGTTGGCGCGTACCGGTTGCTGCAGCAACCGAGTTGTCCTGAACCGGGGAAGTGTATAAACATTGCCACAGATGCACAATTAGATCAGGAAGAAGAATAGAACAGAAAATAGAAACTTCCAGCCTTATGTAATTCTGGGCCAAAATGTTATTGGGAACCCAGGCCCAGTCCTGGCCCTGCCAGCTGCTAGGGGCAGGGTAGCACCATGTCTTCCCTGGGGACCCAGTGGCAGGGAGGGGTGGAGAGAGGGTCTGTCCTCTACGGCCCGAGGCACATCCCGCCACCCAGTGCGGTGAGGGGCCTCTTCTGCTGCAACAGCTGGGGATGCTTGACAGGCAAATCCTGCCTATCACCAGCTCCTGGGAAGTGTGGGAAGGCAAGCAGGAGGGTGATGGCTTTACCCCAGCGCCTGCTGTCCCCGTAGGTCCCATGAGGTAGGGAGTTTTGGTGCCCATGTTACAGGTGAAGACGTGGAAGCTCCGAGAGGTGAACTGAGTGTGTCCTCCCCTCCCACTCCCTGTCTCCCCGCCATCAACTCATTCATGTTGGTGCCACGCAAGTTTGTATCCACTGCCAGCTTTGTGGCTGGCAGCTGGCTTTCCCTCTCTGAGCCACCCGGGACATGGGAATAGCGATGTCTACAGAGGAGTCAAAGCTGGGGACTCCCCCTTCCTCCACGGGGCACTGGGCAGGAATTTGGGCTCAAGGACTCAAAGCAGCACTGGGAGGGAAGAGTCTAAGAAAGTAGCTCAGACCCAGGTGGGGCTGCGGGTTCCAGTAGAACTTTCTTTTTCTTTTTCTTTTTTCTTTTTTTCTTTTTTTGACATGGGGTCTTGCTCTGTGGCCCAGGCTGGAGTTCAGTGGGATGATCACAGCTCACTGCAGCCTTAACCCCCTGGGCTCAATAGATCCTCCTGCCTTAGCCTCCCGAGTAGCTGATGCCACAGGCATGCACCACGATGCCTGGCTAATTTTCTTATTTTTTGTAGAGATGGGGTCTCACTCTGTTGCCCACGCTGGTCTCAAACTCCTGGCACAAACAATCCTTGCATCTTGGCCTCCCAAAATGCTGAGATCACAGGCATGAACCCCTGTGTCCGGCCGGAAATTTCTCAGTGCTAGAACTCTCCTATATGTCTTCTCTGTCCAGTGTGGTGTGGTGGCCATTGACCATATGTGACTCCTGATCACTTAAAATGTGGCTCATGCAAGGAAGGAGCTATACTTAATATTTTATTTAGTTTTAATTAAATGTAAAGAGCCACAGGTGGCCAGTGTCTATCTTACAGGAGGATGTCCAGCCCCCAAGAAGCCCAAAAGTCCATAGATGGAATCCAGGGAGGGGAGTGGGCCCAGAGCCTCTGTGGCTCCCTGTGCTCAGGGCAAGCAGGACAGAGGGACAGGGAGGAACTGAGATGGGCCTCAGGAAGCTTCCAGAACAGTGAGCATAGGAGGGCCGGAGGGGCAGTGTTGAGGGGCAGGGACTAGGACCTGGATCCTTGTGGCTTTAGCTTCCTGGTCTGTGGACCCCTATCTCTAAGCTGGGCCGGACTCAGGGGCACTGGCTCAGACCCTGTCATCAGAACCCCCTCCGTTGCCACCCTCCGCCTGCTGCGGCAGAGGAGGTCTTAGGTCCTGGTCCAGGCTCACCTGCTTCTGAGAGTCTAGGGGCTGAGTCTGGGTGGCCCTGAGGAGGCCCCTCGCTCCCCAGCATCTCACCTGTCTGGCTTCTCCTCCGCAGGCCCTGCGTCTTCCCAGGTGACCACGCCGGCTTCAGGACATGCACGGACACAGCCGCAACGGCCAGGCCCACGTGCCCCGGCGGAAACGCCGCAACCGCTTTGTCAAGAAGAACGGCCAATGCAATGTGTACTTCGCCAACCTGAGCAACAAGTCGCAGCGCTACATGGCGGACATCTTCACCACCTGCGTGGACACGCGCTGGCGCTACATGCTCATGATCTTCTCCGCGGCCTTCCTTGTTTCCTGGCTCTTTTTTGGCCTCCTCTTCTGGTGTATCGCCTTCTTCCACGGTGACCTGGAGGCCAGCCCAGGGGTGCCCGGGGCGGGCGGGCCGGCGGCGGGCAGTGGCGGGGCAGCCCCAGCGGCCCCCAAGCCCTGCATCATGCACGTGAACGGCTTCCTGGGTGCCTTCCTGTTCTCGGTGGAGACGCAGACGACCATCGGCTATGGGTTCCGGTGCGTGACGGAGGAGTGCCCGCTGGCAGTCATCGCTGTGGTGGTCCAGTCCATCGTGGGCTGCGTCATCGACTCCTTCATGATCGGCACCATCATGGCCAAGATGGCGCGGCCCAAGAAGCGGGCACAGACGCTGCTGTTCAGCCACCATGCGGTCATCTCGGTGCGCGACGGCAAGCTCTGCCTCATGTGGCGCGTGGGTAACCTACGCAAGAGCCACATTGTGGAGGCCCACGTGCGGGCCCAGCTCATCAAGCCCTACATGACCCAGGAGGGTGAGTACCTGCCCCTGGACCAGCGGGACCTCAACGTGGGCTATGACATCGGCCTGGACCGCATCTTCCTGGTGTCGCCCATCATCATTGTCCACGAGATCGATGAGGACAGCCCGCTCTATGGCATGGGCAAGGAGGAGCTGGAGTCAGAGGACTTCGAGATCGTGGTCATCCTGGAGGGCATGGTGGAGGCCACGGCCATGACCACCCAGGCCCGCAGCTCCTACCTGGCCAGCGAGATCCTGTGGGGCCACCGCTTTGAGCCCGTGGTCTTTGAGGAGAAGAGCCACTACAAGGTGGACTACTCGCGTTTTCACAAGACCTACGAGGTGGCCGGCACACCCTGCTGCTCGGCCCGGGAGCTGCAGGAGAGTAAGATCACCGTGCTGCCCGCCCCGCCGCCCCCTCCCAGTGCCTTCTGCTATGAGAACGAGCTGGCCCTCATGAGCCAGGAGGAAGAGGAGATGGAGGAGGAGGCGGCTGCGGCGGCCGCAGTGGCCGCAGGCCTGGGCCTGGAGGCCGGCTCCAAGGAGGAGGCGGGCATCATCCGGATGCTGGAGTTCGGCAGCCACCTGGACCTGGAGCGCATGCAGGCTTCCCTCCCGCTGGACAACATCTCCTACCGCAGGGAGTCTGCTATCTGACCTCCAGGCCCGGCCCTCACCACTGCCCACAAGAGCCTCTGCCGGGGGTAGGATGCCAGGACACCCCCTCCCACACTCAGGACAGAGCCAACCCTGGCTCCGTGGACCTTCTGGAGGAAGGTGGGGGTTTCAAAGACTGGGGGACCCCTTCCTCCTGACTCCAGCACCCTGGCCTGGGAAGAGCTCGGCCCAATCAGCCTGGGTTCCCCCAGCACCTACTCCTGGTGGCTCTGGGTCCCCGGATCCACCACCCTTCCCCCACTGACTCTTCAAGGACGTGCCCTCTTTGCTCTCAGAACCTTGGGGAAGGTGACTGGACTGCTGGGTGGGAGACATCTCGGGGTTTCAGGGTGGGCAGGGGGTTAGTTTGGGGAGGGGGGTGCGTTTCTTTTGCATGACTGTGGCCTGTTGCTCATGACTTTCTTTTGTAAATATCTATAAATGGAGACAGATGGAGACACCAAATTCACCTTCTGCCGTTTTTACCTGCCAGACAAGGAGATATGGTCCCTCTCTGTGCACCCTTCCCCACCCTGCCCATCAAGCCTAGCCCCTTCCCCTGCCCAGCTGGCTGGCCCCTTGAGGCCCGCAAAGCCAGCCACCTTGGCCCTTGGATGGTGTTGAGTTTGGGTGCAGAGGAGGGACTCTGAGGGGTGGGATGAGGGAGCATCCCTCCCTCCCTGCAGTCCCTCCGGCCCCGGGGCCCAGCCCAGATTGACAATAGAGTTTGTAACTATATATATATACACATTTGAGACGGAGTTTGTAACCATATATATATATTTGAGACGGAGTTTCGCTCTTGTTGCCCAGGCTGGAGTGTAACGGAGCAATCTCGGCTCACTGCAACCTCCGCCTCCCGGTTTCAAGCGATTTTCCTGCCTCAGCCTCCTGAGTAGCTGAGATTACAGGCATGACCCACCACACTCAGCTAATTTTTGTATTTTTAGTAAAGATGGGTTTCACCATGTTGGCCAGGCTGGTCTCGAACTCCTGACCTCAGGTGATTCACCCACCTTGGCCTCCCAAAGTGTTAGGATTATAAGCGTGAGTCACCGCACCCGGCCATAACTATATATTTTTAATAAAGTATATGGTCCATTGGGGTTGGCTGGTTGAAGATGGAGGGGTGAGAAGGAGAGACAGTGAGCAAGCACACATGTAATTGTGCCTGTGTGTCATGTGTGTGCCTGTGTAGTATGTGTGCCTATGTGTTAGGTGTGTGCCTGTGTGTGTCATGTGTGTGCCTGTGTAGTATGTGTGCCTGTATGTGCCTGTGTGTGTCATGTGTGTGCCTGTGTAGTATGTGTGCCTGTGTGTGCCTGTGTGTTATGTGTGTGCCTGTGTGTTAGGTGTGTGCCTGTGTAGTATGTGTGCCTGTGTAGTATGTGTGCCTGTGTGTGCCTGTGTGTTATGTGTGTGCCTGTGTGTTAGGTGTGTGCCTGTGTAGTATGTGTGCCTGTATGTGCCTGTGTGTTATGTGTGTGCCTGTGTAGTATGTGTGCCTGTGTGTGCCTGTGTGTTATGTGTGTGCCTGTGTGTTATGTGTGTGCCTGTGTGTTAGGTGTGTGCCTGTGTGTTATGTGTGTGCCTGTGTGTTATGTGTGTGCCTGTGTTATGTGTGTGCCTGTGTGTTATGTGTGTGCCTGTGTGTTAGGTGTGTGCCTGTTATGTGTGTGCCTTTGTGTTATGTGTGTGCCTGTGTGTTATGTGTGTGCCTGTGTGTTAGGTGTGTGCCTGTGTGTTATGTGTGTGCCTGTGTTATGTGTGTGCCTGTGTGTTATGTGTGTGCCTGTGTTATGTGTGTGCCTGTGTGTTATGTGTGTGCCTGTGTGTAAGGTGTGTGCCAGTGTAGTATGTGTGCCTGTGTGTGCCTGTGTGTTAGGTGTGTGCCTGTGTAGTATGTGTGCCTGCGTGTGTCTGTATTATGTGTGTGCCTGTGTAGTATGTGTGCCTGTATGTGCCTGTGTGTTAGGTGTGTGCCTGTATAATATGTGTGCCTGTGTAGTATGTGTGCCTGTGTGTGTTATGTGTGTGCCTGTGTAGTATGTGTGCCTGTGTAGTATGTGTGCCTGTGTGTGTTATGTGTGTGCCTGTGTAGTATGTGTGCCTGCATGTGTCTGTTAGGTGCATGCCTGTGTAGTATGTGTACCTGTGTAGTATATGTGCCTGTGTGTATGTGTGTGCCTGTATTATGCATGTGCCGGTGTAGTATGTGTGCCTGTGTAGTATGTGTGCCTGCAAGTGTCTGTGTGTTATGTGTGTGCCTGTGTGTTAGGTGTGTGCCTGTGTAGTATGTGTGCCTGTGTGTGCCTGTGTGTTAGGTGTGTGCCTGTGTGTTAGGTGTGTGCCTGTGTAGTATGTGTGCCTGCATGTGTCTGTGTGTGTGGCCCTTTCTGAGTGACTGACCCTTGGAGGGAACTTTATCACCTGCCATTCTCCTTCCTGCGAGTCAATAGAAGGATCTGGAGTTGGCATCAAAGAACCAAAAGCTTTGATGTCAGAGCTTTGTTACCTAATAGCTGTGTGACTGTCAGTTCTTGGCCTCGGTTTCATCTTCTGCAGAATGGGATTAACCATCCCTCCCACCCGCGATAATGGGCAGGATAGCCCTGTGTGGATGTCAGCCAACCCTTCCTAACTCAGGTGGAAGGGGGAAGGGCCCACCCGATCCACACCTCCCTACATATATGCAGATCCATACACCGCTGGTAGAGCTGGTGGCAGGACACTGATGGGAAGGGCCCAGGGGCCGGGAAACCTGGTCACAGACTTGACCAAGACAGGCTTGGTCTCTGCTCTCTGTGGGACCTTGGGTAAGTCCCTTCCCTTCTCTGGCTTCGGTTAGCCTATGCTATGTAACCAGTCAGCGCAAAACGGAGAGCAATGATGCATCCTCTGTTAGGGTCCTGTGGGTGGGCTGGGGTTCCTAGCTGATTTCTCCTGGGCTCACCCGGCAGCTGTGCTCAGCTGGACCGTCAGTGGGCCTGGAAGACCCCCGAAGAACATGTCGGCAGCTGGTCTGACTGCTTTCTGGGGGGCTTTGGTTCTCCTCCAATAGGCTACATCACATTCCTTCATGGTGACTCCGGGCAGCAACCTAAGAGGGCGAAGGTAGAAGCTGCAAGGTTTCTGGAGGCCTAGCCTTGAACTTGGATAACACCGCTTCCACTGCAGTCTATCGGGCAGAGTCCAGGTCACAAGGCCAGCCCAGGTTCAAAGGGTGGGAAATTAGACTCCACCTTTTGAGAAGGAGGCAAAGTCACATTGCCAAGGACATGCGGAGCAGGAGGGAGCTGTGGCCCTAGTTGGTCATCTATCCCAGAACCTTGGAGTTTGAGGGTTCCTCCCACCCGACCTCTATTCTACAGGCCGACTGTGTGCCTTGGGCTGTAAGGAAGCAGAAGGCACCCTTCTGGGTCCCAGGGATCTTCCACACAAAGGTGCCAGCTGCCTCGAGAAACAGGGAAGCAGCCGGCAAGCTTGCCTTGTGAATGACCACGTCTCACCAGCCCCAGCAGTATAGCTGCCGTTTGGGTGAATCACTGTGCACCCCGTATGCTGCGCTGCTGCAGAAGGAAACTGGAGACCTCTTTCCTGGAGACGGAGCCTCGTTCGGGATCCAAGCCTCCCAACAGATAATTCATAATGTCTCTGATTTGCATAACACCTTTCACGTCCTTGGGTTCATTGAACTCTTACGAAACTCCAAGAGGAAGCCAGGACAAGGATTATGGCCTCCTTTTACTGATGAGGAAATAAATGGTGGCCCAGAGAACCAGGGAACTGGCTGGAAACAAAGTGAGGACAGTCAGAGGCCCGGGACCCTGCTTTTCCTTCACTCCATCCTCTCCCAGGTGGGGGCTCAATGAGGGGGAGAGGCTGCTTCCTTTCCTCTTCTGCCCCTTCTCAGATTTCCCAGAGTGCACCTGTGGTCTTTGGGGGCCCCCCTGGAAGAGCCTGTGGGGGCCGCTCAGCAAGAAAGAAATTCACATTCTGGAAGGACCCCTGGTCCTCTTCTGTCAGCTGAGTACCCCAGGGTCTCACTCCTGACCCTGGAGGCTCATGAGAGATGTCCCGCTATCCAGCCCCGCAGGCCCTGGGTGGGTCTCGCCAGGTCTCCCCGGTCCTCCCTCCACATCCCCAGGATGCCACGGCTCCCGGGCTACGAGCAGTAACTGAAGAGGACTCAGGCTCAGGTGCTCCCAGACTCAGAAGCCTCCACCTGGAGCACGTCTTCGGGGATGTCCACCCTCCTCTAAGATATGCGAGAGGCCTGGATGCAGGGTGAGGAAGGGGTACATGTGGGGTTACCTCAAAGAGGGCCCGTCATCCACCATCCAGAGCAACATGGGGCGTTCCAAGGTCCCTCCAGGCCCTTCACCAGCTTGCGGCTTGCTCATATGCTTGTGGTAGTTGCTCTTTTTGGAGGGGCCTGGTCTCTCTGGTCACATGCAAGGTGACCTGTGGCAGGGTCACACAGAAGAGGCAAGTGAAAGCCCGAAGCCAGGACTTCTGGAGTGCCAAAGGTCAGCTCCAGTGTGGGCACTGGGGGAGAGGGCCATGAGGTGCCGAGAGCCCGCAGCTGCAGGGAGGCTCCCAGGCCTGGCTGCACTGCAAACTCCTGCTGGCTCAGCTCTGCTTGGGGCTGACTCACCTTCCCTCTCCCACCTGTTCCCCTTTCACAGCCCTCCCACCTGCCTCCCTCCTCGTGCAGCTCCTCTGATCTCTCACTCCACTCCGGCTCCTGCGGCACTGACATGGGGGGATTGCTGCGTCTGGGGGTGTAAGAACCTTAGATGTCACGGAGCCTAGAATTGCGCACACGGGCGGGCTGAAGGAGCCGTAAAGTGCTGCCAAGCCCTCCTCATGCCACACCAGCTTCCCTGCAGAGCCAGGGTAGGGAGACCCCCTCTGCCCTGCCCTGCCCTCTCTTCCCCACTTCGGTCACAGCCTCTGGGGGAGCAGGAGTGGTGGGCGGGATGGAGAGAATGACGAGGGTATCATGCATGCAGAAGAAAAGGAGGAAGACAGGGAGGGAGGAAGAGGAAGAAAGGGAGGAAGACAGGGAGGGAGGAAGACAGGGAGGGAGGAAGAGAAAGAAAAGGAGGAAGACAGGGAGGGAGGAAGAGGAGGAAAGGGAGGCAGACAGATAGGGAGGAAGAGGGCGGGTCTAATGGGAGCAGAAAATCCCACCCTCATCTGGCCACGCCTGCCGGCCTGCCTGGAATCCCACAGCTGAGACCTAATCCTTGTAGATTCACCATGGCTTCCTTCCCACCAGCTTCTGGAAGATTTATCTTCTTTATGAACTCAAATAGCTCATAGAAGAATAGAGAAGAACTTAGGAGGCATCCAACTCAGCTATTTCACCTCATCGCGTTCACCCCCATCTTTGTTAGACCCCACGACCGCAATCAGAGGACTGCTTCCTGCGTCTGGCTTTTCTCATTGCAGTTTTTTCC